ATTTAATATTATTTTCTATTTTTTTATGTGTGTGATTTTTATAATTTTGATAACGCAACTCTGAAGCTATTTGTTGAACATTTAAAAAATAAAAATGATTAATAGTGAATATAAAATACTAGAAATGATGTTAACGAAAAAATACAAATGCTTGGTCCTTTATAATTTGGTACAAAATTTGGGACTCTAGTATGTTAAAAACTGTGTTTTATTCTCTCTATGACGTCCTCTTTATAAGTGAAAATTTGGATTTGAAATAAGAATCAATAATACATTTTGCAAAAAAAACGCTTAATCTTAGCTCTCGCTGGACCGATTTTGGCGAACAATACGTCAAAAGATCCCNTCGCTCAATCTTAGCTCTCGCTGGACCGATTTTGACGAACAATACGTCAAAAGATCCCAAATCATATCTAGTCAAAGACATTACCCTCAAAAATTGAAAAAAATTTCCTCGTTACGTAAACGAGGGAAATCCCCCAAAAAATTACAAATTTAAAAACNAGACATTACCCTCAAAAATTGAAAAAAATTTCCTCGTTACGTAAACGGGGGAAATCCCCGAAAAAATTACAAATTTAAAAACCGCTTATTTCGACATTTTTTTTATTTAAACTGCCATAACTTTTTGAAAAATGAACAAATCAATATAATTTTTTTTATAGATACTTTAGGTATGTACCTTTCATTTGATATATTTTTGTGACACATTTGACCCTTTACCTGCCCACAGGGGGTTTCCAAAATTACAAATAATTTTTTCTATCCGATTTACCGTTCGTCCGTTACAGCTTGTTAAAGTTAATGATTTTAGGCCAAATTTATACTGTCATTTTACTGTATTAAATACAGAAGTCATTATTTTTATTTGCTGTTGCATAAACCAAATTTTATTTTAAAATCTCTAACAGGAGAAGCGGCCATGGTAATACATAGTTTGGAAACCACTGCGGCTCAATATATAGTAGCACGGAGTAGGCTAATAGAGCGCTATAAATACCGTTAAGTGCTAATTCAAGTTCATGTGCGCGCCCTGATTGATTTGGAGCCACTAAAAAGAGAATCGGGCTCTACGTTACGTAGGTTAACTGGCACTATTGTCAATCGTATAAATTCGTTAGAAACTGTTGAATGGAATAGGTTATGTAATTAAAAGATTTAGAAATTATTCGTAATATAATAGTATTTAATATAAAATGTCAAAACATATAATATAAGAGATGTACAACGGCAACGGGTCACTTTACTCGATAGACGGTGAAACTACGACTAAACTGTAAACATGTATACAATAGGCTGCATTGAGTAAAACAACATAATCGTAAAAGGAATGTGTCCCTTTGACCTTGTACTATACTAACATAAGTAAAAATACATTAAACTGTTATCTTAAATAATATTACTGTACCCAGTGTGTTGTTTAATAATATCAACAGAAACATTAGGTCACAACAGTGCAGAGCCATTTTAATACATTTAATTTTATCAAAGCTGGACCAAACTTCAGTGACGAAATGGTAAGTTTTTTCCGCAGAAGAAAAAGAACCAGAAATTAAAGTTTTTGAAATCTCGTTTTCGAATTTTAGAGGCTGTTAATATGGTAAAACAGGAAAAAGAGTTTAAATAGCCTATAGCAAGAAATAAATTTGTTAGCTCTAACGGATTTGCAGTTACGAGCGAACTAAAATGTTTTGTTTGTAAACAAACGCATACGGTGTATACATGACCGATACTTTAAGTATGTGTGAGATAGAGAATTAAACAGGTAGCTGAGTTAAATCTCTGTAAAATTTGTTTACGAATACATGCAGGCGAACGATGTACACAACGGCGGTGTCTTAAAGAGGCTTAAACACTAGCTTAATACATATCAATTTTTATAATTACTGTATACTTTAAAATTGAATATTAGTAGGAGAGAATATTATTAGAAGTATACATGTATAGTTTTATATAAGAACTCATTATGGATTTTTTTCAAATCATATAAATTAAATTTCTTCGAACATTTTATTTGAAATTTTTTATTATAGCTTCTAATTGTTTAAAATTAGTTAAAAAAGTTAATTTATAGACTCAACTAGAAACATTTTTTGAATTTGTGACTTTCCATTAAGCAATATCAGTCAAGTAGAAGCTGAGAAAAAGTGATATCAGCGACAAAAAAAAATTTAAATGTTTTTTATATTCCTATTAATACCTATTTTAGCTTCGATGCGAAGCTGAGATTATATTAGTTTTACTATGATGTGTTTTTTTTTTGTGTCTGTTAACATTTTTTCTCAGCTCTCACCGAACGGATTTCTTTCAACGATACGTCAAAAGATCATAAATCGTATCTAGTCGAAGACATTACCCTTAAAAATTGAAAAATTTTCCCTCGTTCCCTTCAAATGGGGGAAATATCCAAAAAAATTACAAATTTAAAAATCGGTAAATTTTGTCATTTTTTTCACTTTTTTTTCTTAAAACTTCCATAACTTTTTCAAAAATAAACAAATCAACGTAATTTTTTTTTTATAGATACTCGATAACTTTGTCTATCATTTGGTANTCATAATTTTTTTTTTATAGATGCTTGATATCTTTGTCTATCATTTGGTATATAATTTTTGTAAATCTGACACTTAACCTGCCCACAGGGGGGGATTTAAAATGACAACTTTTTCACAAAAAATTAACTTTTTTAACTTGACTTTTGAAAATGTTCCGGAAAGTCTGACACTTTTATATAAATCTTAAATTAAAGCTAATGTAATGTACTTTAATTTGAAAAAAAAAAATTTGACCTCTGGACTTATCTTCATGGGCGAAAATGGCTACCAAATGCTATTTTTGTGTGAAAATTCTCGATTTTATTTTTTACATTTTTAACTTTATAATGCTATAACTTATTGAAAAGTGTATGNCAAATCGTATCTAATCGAATATATTACACTCAAAAATTGAAAATATTAACCTCGTTCCCCGTAAATGAGAGAAACCTCCAAAATAATTACAAATTTAAAAATGGCTAATTTTCGAAATTTTTTTTACTTAAAATTGCCATAACTTTTTTACATAAGTAAAAATATATAACTGGTCACATAAATATGACCAGTATGAAAGGCTAAGTACGATCATATTTTTGGTGGCCAACAATTGACAAAGACATTGAGAATATGGTTTGTGATTGTTATGTTTATACAAACGCTAGGCCAAATCCACCGAAATCAACAATTACTCCATGGAGATGGCCTCAAAGGCTGTGGACTCGGGTGCATTGTGATTATTTAGAGCCGCACAGAAATAAAATTTTATTGATATTAATAGATGCAACTTCATAATGGTTAGAGACATTTTCGGTTAATTCCATGACTGCGCAAACTGTTATTACAAAATTTTCAGAGTTGATCGCTCGTTTTGGAATTCCGCATACAATAACAACTGACGATGCGAAATGTTTTAGTGGCAAATTCGTTTGCCACTAAAAAGGAGTTAAAATTCGAAAACTACTGTAAAAAATTAGGCTTTAGACATTTAATGGGAGCACCATTCCATTCTGAAACAAGGGGTTGCGCTGAATCAAGTGTCAAAATCGTTAAACAATTCCTAATTAATGCTAAAATAGTTCAAAAAAAGAAAACTGGAAGAAGTTCTGTAATGTTTGGATACAATTCAAGTTGAAACGGAGTACTACAAGAATCAGAAAAGAACAAACTGGGATAACTACAGGGCAGATCTTTCACGTGACCTGAATCTAACCTACAGTTTAGATTGGGGTCAAGACAGAGTACTGAAAGGGCTGTAAATATCCTAGAGGACTCCATTGTCTCGGCTTACAAGAAAAACTGCCCTTTAATAAAAAGAATAGGTACAGAGCAGGGTGTAGATTGGTGGAACGCTAACTTGTCTAAATTAAAAAAAAGTTAACGTAAGCCTCTAAATAAAGCAATGAAATCAGACTTAGAACAACACTGAGAGTCCTATAAAGACGCCCAAAGGAACTACAATTCTGTATTGAAATAGTCCAAAAGAGAAAACTGGAAGAAGTTCTGTGAGAAAATACAACAATTCCCTATAGCAACTAGACTTCTGCGATCACTAAGGAATGGACTAAAGATGCAGGCTATGACGAAATTTTTCCTGTACTTCTGGCAAAAAGGGTTAGAGCTAATTTTGGAACAGCTCAATGAAACCAAAATAATCAAGAGTTAAACAGGGATACCCACAAGGAGGGGTGTTATCTCTCTTGCTATGTTATCTAGTTTTAGACTCACTTATTAAAGGGTGAAACCTATATTGTTACACACAAGCCTATGCAGATGACTTGGCTATAGTAGTGGTGGTTAAATTCCCAAACACAATTATAGATATGACACAGCAGATACTGAACACTATACACATATGGTGTAGTAAGTACAACCTAACTGTTCATCCAAACAAAACAGAGGTAGTAATGTTTACTAGGAAAAGAACAGTCTTGATACACTTAGCCTGAATATACAAGATATTGGCTTTATGTCAGAGGTGAAATATTTAGGTATTATCCTAAATAGTAAGCTAAAATGTAATTCACATGTTGAGTCAAAAGTCAAAAAAGCAATGAACACACTGTGGACTCACAAGAGAGCCCTGGGGAAACAGTTAATCGATAATGTCCTTCACTAATCATAATACAAGCAATCATGTCATAGAATATTCATTGCTATTATGCTAATTAACCAAATAAATATTATACAACCGAAACCTCATTAGTCAAATTTACCAATCAACATTATTATAAAATTAAAAATTTTTTATATCTAATATAATAATAATAGAATATATTTTGAAGAATAATAAAGTAAAAAAATTATATATAATTCATGAATAAAAATGCATCTCACAGTTTTTCACTTCTCCTATTAATTTAATAAAAGTAATTACGACGTTTTGCAGTGTAGCTGACGTAATCTTACAGTTGTTAGACCAATCAAAATTTTATGTAAGAAAAAGGACAAAAAATAGATATTTAAAAAAAAAAAAAATAATATATATTTTTTTTAATTAGATACAAATAAAATATATGCTTTAAACATAGTCACTGGCATAATAACGTTTTTCTCTTAAGATGGGGAATATTTATAAAAAGAATTTTCACTTCTTCTTGCCAGCAAAAAAATATTATAACTTCACAATATAATTATTTTTACAATAGGGATATTGGACACTCATACCACCCCTCATGATTACACCAGTGAATGAAGACCACAACTAAATATTATTTTTAAATAAGTAACATACAAAATTCAATATTAAAATCAAAAGTTTTTAAAGATATCAGATCATTCTGTATAATTATACTATTCTTAAAACAATTAATATTTTAATTAAAATACCTCAATAATTCGTGGAACCCATCCCATACGGTTGCTATAAGGCGGTATTTTGACATCATACCGCTGTGTTGGAGCCGGTAGCATACTGTATAACACAAAAAGTATTCAACAAATAAATACCGAAAAATTAATTCATTCAAATGTAATGTCATGAATAAATTCATTAACGTCTATAAAAATGATATAGCTAGTAACTTACCTAAAGAGAGACATTTTAAAAGATAAATACCATTACAAGAAAGATGAAATAGATTAATTAATTATTTCATTAAAATTAAAATTAAACACAAAAAAAAGATATAACTTCTTGAGAGACTTTACACAAATAACAAACACATTGAGTTGGCCATTTTAAGTAAATCATGTTACGCTAAACAATATTACAGTGTGACCGATTCTGAAAAATTTACAACTTAAAAAATAACAATATTTTTAATGAACGACTCTATCAGTCACTTTGCTGCTGCGTTAATCGTTTCCACGGTTATTTCTCAGGTTGGCGGTCGGCACTATATGTCCAATGTTTTAGCCGCATTAAAATGGTGTTTATCGTGAACTAAAAGCGCTAGTAGCACAGACTATATAAAAACAGATAATTCACTTGGCTGACAAGGGGAGGTCACGGTGTGGTACCCACCGATTTTCATAAAATGTATATAGATCTATTCTATATTGACTATTTAATCACCTTTATTTCGAATTTGTTGCCAATGCCCCCCCTAAGTCGAGAAAATCGACTTTGAAAATTGTTGTTTAACTTTAATAGAGTTAATTTTTCAATTGGGATAAGGTCGTACTATTGTCTAATGGATAGCGCGTGACAGTCCGATTATGGGGTTCCGAGTTCGAATCTCTGAACGAGACATGAATTTTTTGCATTTTTTTTTCACTTTTTTTTTTTAATTTTTAACTTTTATTATTATATTACTATTTTTTATTTAACTTTATGTCTCTAAAAGACTATTTTTAACACTTTCAACATTTATTATTCTTTGAATCATCAAATGATCAAAGGTATAAGTTTTGGTTAAAATATAGTAAGATTTAATCAAGATAATGATAATCATAGTCATTATTGAACTATTATATGAAATGAATGATTTCAAACACAATTTTTTTTTGAATTTAAATTATTTTAATTACTTAAATCAAAAGTGTTAAGATTTGAAACACGTAATATTAGCGCTAAACACAAATTAACAAAAAGAAAATGTTTTGTAATTATTATTAAAATATCATGAATAATAAGAATAATTATTATATAATATATCACACTTTACATTCAAAGGGATGATATTTTTCGTAGAAACAGAAAAAACATAAATACTTTTTACATATAGAGCAACGTATAAAAGCTACTTTTTCACATTTACATTTAAATTTCCATACATCCGATGGAAAACATATTTGGTTTACATTACCGAATAACGACCTCTCACTAACTAATTTTGCGGAGTACCACGCATATGATAACATATTTTTGAAAATATCGGCAGATAGTTGATGGTGAATTAATGAATGAATTTTTATGACATCTTCTCTTGACGAAAGTTGTTTATCACTTTGTAACACGTCTACAGCATTTTGAATTTTTTTTATAAAATTTTTTACTTGACGGAAAAAATAAACATCGCAAGGCTGACAATATGGTGTGCAATGAGGAGGGATTATTTCAACATTTGCATTACAATCACCATTTGTATTAGTAAAATTATTTTTAAAATGTCCTGGATCTGTTTGTCCTCCCCAAGAATCAATTATTAATAAAAATTCGTTTGATTTACAATAAGGTGCTAAAATATTTTTAATAAACTCGTTAAAATGGGGTTTTGTTAATTTTCCTGATTTAGAAGCCGTTACGTAAATGTTACCATATGAACGAGTTAATGAGTTTACGGATTCGTTTATGCGTGGACCAAATTCGCCTTTAGCCTCCTGCATACAAAGAAATACTTTGGGAAGAATTGTTCCTGCAGCAGTTATTGCATATTGTGCAGTATAACTATGAGTTACCTTATTAAAATCACCCAAAAATACTTCCGTTACTTTTTCACCTCTATGTGATAATGTCCTACATATCTCACTTCTATATTCACAACCAGTTTGATCAGTATTTATCACAAAATTTGGATCATAGTTTAAAATTAATTTAGATACTCTTTTTTGAAAACTCTCTGCTTCATTCATAATTAATGAAATGTCTAACGCTTTCTTTGATTTAATATAACGCGTAACCTTTCTTTGACGAATATTATTGGTATGTTTAAACTTTTTTACCCAGGATAATGACGCAATAAATCGAAAACCACTAACATTTTCAAATTGCATTGCAGCTACTGACGCCCATTGCTGAATCATTCTTGTCGAAACTGGTTGTTTGTTTACTCTAGACTCATAAAAACGATCGTAAGTCCACTTATTAATTTTGTCATAACACTCCTTTACACCTCCGTTTAAAATATCATTTTCCCAACGACCCAAATACTTTTTACTTTTTAACAAACTACAACCGTTTCGTTGCAATGTTTGCAAGCTCCAATTTGGATGCTCTTTAGCAACCTGAACAATTTTAATTTTTGTTTCAATAGGTATAAATGACTTTTTTTTTAATGGAGATTTTAATTCATCGGAACTTATTGAAAGATTATTATTTATCGTTGAACTAGAACTCGTTATTATTTCATCCACTAGGGATTCCTCAGATTGTTCATGGCTTAAAAAAAACTCATCATCTTCCTGAAACTCGTACTCATTCAACACCTTTATGACTGATTTGGCCATAATTTCACCCATTAAATAATTATTTTTTGAAAATTTATCGCCAACCGTTGCAGATAAATAATTCAAATTTGTCAATATTTGACGACAAATTTCAAAAGCATTAGTAGCCTCCTGTTTATCATTTGGAGATAAAAGTGCCTCGTTTGTGCATTCCTCACTGATAACCCTACTTGTAGACGGTTCTATTTGCTCACAAAACATTTTTCAAAAATATAAACACAAAAAAATTTAACGATAAACAGAATATAATTTAAATTTTCTATATTCTAAGGCTCGTGGAAATAATTGTGTATCAAAATTTCAAATTATCGTGTAATACAAAATAAACTTTTTTTAATGCACTCGTCGTAAAATGTGAAATCCAATATTGGTTCTACGAAGAGTGTGTGCTGGTTAATAAGTATCAAAAAAATTGACGTACAGATTTTTACACCAATGAGGCCTGATCTATTTACAAAACATTTTAATAGACTTGCAAAGACTTGTAGAGACATGTAAAAACTTGTCGAGTCATATTTGATAAATACCGATCCAAACTTCATAATGCGTCTAGGGAAACTACGCTAAAGTATATAATTAGAAAAAAACTTGTTTGTTACACTTGACTAACATTGATAAAAAGAGTCATATTTAAACCAAACTTATACCTTTGATCATTTGATGATTTAAAGAATAATAAATGTTGAAAGTGTTAAAAATAGTATTTTAGAGACATAAAGTTAAATAAAAAATAGTAATATAATAATAAAAGTTAAAAATTTTAAAAAAAAAGTGAAAAAAAAATGCAAAAAATCATGTCTCGTTCAGAGATTCGAACTCGGAACCCCATGATCGGACTGTCACGCGCTATCCATTAGACAATAGTACGACCTTATCCCAATTGAAAAATTAACTCTATTAAAGTTAAACAACAATTTTCAAAGTCGATTTTCTCGACTTAGGGGGGGCATTGGCAACAAATTCGAAATAAAGGTGATTAAATAGTCAATATAGAATAGATCTATATACATTTTATGAAAATCGGTGGGTACCACACCGTGACCTCCCCTTGTGAGTACAATAGGAAAAAAAATCAAGCTCTCTGATTGGGCAGCAGACAAAGCAGTAAAGACTGTTGTACAATTTTACATTATTGTGCAAATATTTTATTTTAAAATAAATACATGACAAGGAGAGTACACTGATTTGGATAAATATTATATAAATAAAATTGACATAGCATAGAAAGTTAAACTTGTTTAAATTTGTTTGCTTTTTTTTTGGTCGAGAAAAATAATTTTGAAATTTGAACTAGCATAAATAGACAAAATTTTCAATCGGCGTACGGTTGTCGAGTCGGTAAAACTTGCAATTTACACGCTTGGGGTACGAGGTTCCAACCCGCGTATGGCAATGAATTTATTGCATTTTTTCTTAATTCTTTTTAAGTTAGTATAAATTTTCAACTGCTTTGATTTTTATCTTATTTAGATTCAATAACTTCAGTTAAGATCAAGGATCCCATCATTTTAGTCGCCCCATGCGAGAAGAAATTTCTTATTCATATTAAAATAATTTTACTATATTTTAAGTTTTAGCTTCGATGCAAATCTGAGAAGGTATTTTTTTGTGACAATGATTTATTTTCTCTGCTCTAACTTGACCTGTTTTTTTCAACGATACGTCAAATGACTACAATTCGTATCTAGTTGAAGATATTACTCTCAAAAATTGAAAAAGATATTCTAATTTATCAATAAAACAGTGTACTGTTGATTGTTTACCCGTGAACATGTTATTATTATCCGTTCCGTTTATCTGTTAATTTAGTAACTTACGATATCCGTTTACAGTATATAAATTACAATATATTTAATTACCAAGCTTTCAATTCACATATTTTTACTTAAATATTACTTAAGTTCAATATGTCAAAAATAATCAAATCTCCTGTACAGAACCAAACGTCAAAAATTGAACCTTCATTATCAGATATAATGAAAGCTCTCAAAATCCAAGACAACAAGCTTACTTCAATTGCAACAAAAATATCGTTTCAAGAAAACAAAACTGATTCAATTATCAACAAACTTGAAAACCTTACAACCGATATTGCTAACTTGAGGGAAGAAAACAGAATTCTTAAAAACGAGCTTGATACATTACGTAAACATGTTAATTCTCTTGACCCATCTACTACNATTACGTAAACATGTTAATTCTCTTGACCCATCTACTACGAATATAAATTCTGAAGTGAACTTAATTCGTGAAATTCAAGAGCGCATGGAAAAGTCAAAGAATATTTTGATTTTTGGTGTTAATGAGGATAATGATACAAACGAGAATCCACCAATTACAGTTNATTGTTAATCATTGTCATGTAAAAGGTAATAATTTTGTTTAATTCTCACTAGTAGTATAACCTATTATTTAGTTAGCAAATCTTGGGTTATACTTTCAATGTGTTTTTATTCATGTATAATGTTTAATTTTGTCGTTATACTTAATTGAGACTAATAAAATTATTGCTAATTTCAATTATTTTTTTTAGCTGCTGGTCTGCCTCCAATAGAAAAAAAGTGTTCTTATTGTGGTCTTCCCGGGCACGGGGAGATGGAATGCCATGTCAAAGGTAATATTTGTGTTATATTTCTTTTTAAATTTAATAACATTCTAAAAGTAATTTTTTCTCATCTAAAAACTGTTTTTTTAATTTTTGTGTCTTGCTTTAATAATTAACGTAAGCCTACAGGTTAATCCTGATTTATTTTATGTCGCATATTTAATAAATAGTATTGTGTCAATTGTTACTAATGTCGTGAACGCATAATTTTGTAAATTTTAGTTTTAAGGAATTTATATGTAACATTGTGTAATTACTAGAAAGTAAGATTATACTGCCTAATACTTTAATTGAAGAAAGTATTATGGTTTTAATATTTAATGTTTATTTAATGAACACTGTAAATAAAAAAGGGGACTTGACCATCTTCTCGGTGGTCAGTGTTCAATAAGTGAATGTTACATTATAATTGTTATTATTTTGACTCTTCCTGACAACACTTATCCGCGTGATCGAACTTGGACTTAGAACACCCAGTTCATCACACTAAATCAATCATGAATACTACACTAATTAAACAATATTCATAATTATGATCTATTTTTACCTTGATAATAAATCCTTATTTTTTAATTATAGCAGCTGGATATCCACCTATGGCAGAGATATGCAAATATTGCCATTTCCCCGGGAACGGGGAACCGGAGTGCCACATTAAAGGTACTTATTTATTTTAATATTTTTTCATTTGGTTTTTTAAGGTTTGTTGACAACCTTTATAAGATGCATTTTATGTTTCTAGTTTATCTAGTTTATAATAAATTAAATTTGATTTTTAAATTTCAGTTGTTATGTATAACCTTATTTTTTAAAAATCAACACAGTAAAATTTATATTTTTATAATTAATTAAACAATTGATTAAAAGAAAAATTCTAACTAACAACAATTCTGAATGTAAAATTTTAAGCTATATAACATTTTTTANGAATGTAAAATTTTAAGCTCTATAACATTTTTTTTTAATAAAAATTGCCTTATGAGTTTTAAATATGAGGAAAAAAATATATTTATTAATACTAAGGAATTTTTTATAGGTTCAATTTAATGAACACATAATCTCTATAAATCTAGTTTCAAATTTTATGTTTGCTTATGTAATTTTACACACAAAATAATACAAATTAAAGTGGTGCAATTCTTAGAGAATGCTACAATTATGGTTTTTTGAAATTGAAGATTTTAACTACTTCTTTTTTTTTATAATTTTATGAAACAATGATAAAAATACAATTATAAAGTAAATTGATAATATAGAATTTCAAAATATTTCTCAATTCCCTAAACGTTGGACCACTGTAAAACAATACCTATAAGATAACTAATTTAAACAAAAACATTTTTTTTTAGCAGCAGGATTGCCGCCGCCAACAGAAGCGCCACCGCCAACAAGCGCTTGAAAATAAAATATATATATGTATATCTCTATCTATATATTGACTTAAATTTATTAATTTATAAATTAAAAAAAAACAATTTATAATATATAAATTATATATTATTTAATTATAATAAATTATATTATAAAAAAAATCTTTGTTAATTTGCTTTTATATGTCTTTCTTCATTGTATTTAATACAAAGTTCATAACCTGGTTCGTCGACCTAACAGAATATTGCAATTAAAAAAAGTGCTTAATATGTTTGATAACGTATTGACACACGTACTGGCCTCATCAACTTGCATTTATGACAGTGATCGTAGACGAGTCCCAGTAATTTCATAACATATTCCGAATGGTGAAATTTTACATTAATTAGTTATCTAATTTTAACGTAATAGAACTATTATATTAAGTTATTGAAATTTTTGAAATTTATTATTTTTTATCGTTCAATACATATTAATTCATCAGCATAATATAAAAACTCGTTAACAGTTAATTTTTTCAACCACCATTTAATTTACAAACGTATGATACAATTTTTTTTTAAGACGTAGAACATGCATTTTTAACTTTCATACCGTCTTTATTAAAAAGTGGGAATTTAACAACATACAAATGATTATAACAAAATTACGAAAAAACTAAATGAGTCCCCGCATAATCAACGATTTTATGCGTAATAAAATAATTTTAATAAACTATAGCCTTTTAGATGAATTTAAAAAAAATGTGACCCTTCAAAAATTTTGTCCAAATTACGCTATAGAATAAAATCACTGATTAAAGCATTATTTGTTAACGAAAAAATGCTTTAAGAAATTTTGTCAAATCTGTTAAACACTCAATGCCGTCCCACTTGTTAATTCTAATAAATTCATAAACATAATTTGTTCATAAATTTAAATAATGAATACCAGACTTCGGACTGTCTACTACAAATCATTCATAAATAATTGATTACTTATAGTAGGTGTGATTACAATGAGTGTCCACAATTTTTTAACAACCTAAAAATGTGAATGACAATTAATATTTTAAAGAGTATTTGTTTAAAAAGAGTAAAAGCAAAATACTATTTATCTGTAAGAACGGTCTATCATGATGATTATATTAACTCTAATATTGTAATTATTTTCTTATTATTATTCGAAAATTGATATATTAATTCTTAATTACAATAGTTAACACTTGCATTACTCCGCAGAATACTACTGAATTTAATTAGTATGTACTATATAACCGATGAATTATAATATTTAATTATTTATTATATTACTACTTTAGGTATTATTTCTTTTTTGAGACCGTTTCATTAATCTTAACGACATTCTTGTTTCATCTTTTCCCTCGTCACATAATATACAATAAAAATCATTATTATCATATATCATTATTATCAACTTGTCTTGGTATGTTTATGTCTTCATATTGAGTCCATGTAATAGTAGGAATGTGCCCACCATTATAAGTGCAATGTTTATGCAATGCTTTATTTAGTTTTTGAAACCTTGAAGTATATTTTCGAGCCTGATTACTATCATTGGGATCCAAATTTGGACAGTATGGATCTATGATGTAACATTTCCCTGAATTTTCAGGTATATTTTTGGTATTATAAATTGTTTTAAATTTTATAACAGCTATAATCCAATGACTTGGAGTGCTCTCATACCATGGCATAATGACTGTACTATTTTCAACAAAGTTATACTTATTTGTTAATTCTTCATTCACTTCTGATTTACTTAAAATGTCAGACACTTGATTACAGTATAATATACTGAAATCCGACTGTTTTTTAGGGACTTTAATAGCCAAACAAATATCTATTATAAAGTTACTCAACCAGTTTCTTCCATTAAGACAAATAAAGTCCTCTATATCTAATGTTTGTAAGGTACATAAAGTATCAGGTATAATATGGTAATAAGTTCCAACCATATAGTTCAGATGTTTCACTCTACCTCCAAACAAATGACTTACTCTATTTTTGTGTTCAACCTTTCTATAATAATCCAAATTTTTTGGTAAATTGTTATTGTACAAATTATTTCTAATAATACTATTATCTGGAGTTTTATAACAACCTGGAGTTGGTATTGATTTGTTGGAACATTTTTCAACTTCCATATCACATTCTTTAAATGATATCTTACTTATATCATTTTTAATTGAATTAATTTGACTCTGATTTTTTTTAATATTTTCAATATCAACACAATCATTTATTATAACGCTATTATCTTTTAAATAAGTTTCAGGGGAAACAATTATTTCAATTTTTGAATTGAATTGATTAATTTCTGTTTTCTTGTTTACCTCATTTAACAATAATGTTTCATTTATAGTTTGTTTCTCTGTTTTAGGTGAATCATTATTCAACCTTTTTTTTTCTGCTGATTTGGATATTGCTTGAAATGGGTGATGACCTATTGGCTTCAGATGCTTTTGTCGTTTTGGAGTTCTTCCCCATTTTTCTTCAGCATCTAAGTGAGCGTCATCAGCTTTACGCTTATGAGAAGTCTTATTTTGGATAAGTTCTTCATTAGTTTTACTTCTAAATTCGAGTTGCCTTTTAGCAGNTTTTGGATAAGTTCTTCATTAGTTTTACTTCTAAATTCGAAATGACTTTTGATAGCGTATAAACGCAACAACTGGGCCACAGTAATTTGCGAATTGGTGAATGTTCCGAGACGAGTCCAGATATTTTCTATACATTTTCTGAAAGCTTATAAAAAACTCTATAAGTGGTGTGAAAAGCTA